TTTCGAGGCCGGGCCGAAACATGTCATGATTCTTGGTATTTTTTGTTTTGCCTTTTCTAACACCACACTGCGTATACGCAATCGTAAGTGAAAGTCGGTGTTTAGGCCCCGGGCTATGGATAATTTGGGTTAAGCTCACGCACACACACACATATGTGTGTGGCATAATATTTTCGGCCAATTTTTACTTTGATCCATTTATGGTTCTCCTTTTTTTTTTCTGTTTGTTTGGCTTTTTATTAAAAACAAAATGTTTTATTTGACTGACTTGTTTATGTTGGGCCTTAAAGCTGACCCTACCAAGAAAGGGTCGCAACTGGAAAAGGGTTTCTGATTGTGCGTATCAATTTTTATGGGTCGTGGTATGGGGGGATTAACGGTGGATGAGTGTGAATAGCATAGGAAATGAAATTCTTATCAGGCCATTTGGGGATTTCCCCTTTTTAGTGAGATAGCTGGTGGTCGGGTGTTTTTAAGTGATGGTAAATTTAATTCATTAAAGGAGACACTTTGTTGTGAATCAGAAATCCATAAAAAGCAGAAAATTATCAAGTTGTATATCAAGTTATTAAGTTATGGTTATTCTTATTCCAATTAAATATTAATTAATTAAGTGAAACACTTGGATTTGAATCAAAAATCCATAAGAAGTTATTAAAAAATCGAATAATCAACAGAATTTTGAGCTATGATCTCTAAAATTGGTTATTTAAATTCGAATTAAATACTAAACATGTAAAATAAATTAAGTTTATTAAATGAGACACTTGGTTTTACAAATTCTAAACAGAAACTGCAGCTATGATCGCTGAAATTGCTTATTCTAATTAAATAATAAACATGTAATTTATTTTTTCTTAAAAATTCTTATGAATTTTTATAATAAAACAACGTATTAAAATAATCAAATTAAAAGCATCAGCCCACTTTTAACTCAATCAGTTGCAACTTTTTCAATTAACAACACATAGCTGCCGATCCCGAACACTTTCGCCTTTAAGAACCGTAAACCGAACCGTAACCGCAATTTCCATCGCCCCTTGGCTCACTTTTCCCCCCGGCAACCCAGCAACCGGGCAAGCGTCCAACCAACATGCCCCACGATAATTGAATTATGAAACATCATTTCGCTGTCTGCCGTAACCATAAACGCATTAAGTTCGCGTTAATGAAGAATTATGCAGATGATGTCCAGGTCCAGACCTCAGACTAGACTTCAATACAAAGGCGAGCGGCGAGCTGAGCAGAAATATATATAACGAACCTATAAAAGCCTTGGCCCATTAGCAAGTCTGGTCCATTAAAACTGCACACACAAAGGATAAAGGAGCTGGGTGAAAAACTTCTGCAGTGAATTTGCTGAATTATTAATTAACCGCAAACAATTAAAATTGAAATGTTTAAAAAAAGGTCTACGTATAATTAAGCAGTGCGCTGGAAAGAATGCGACGAGTTAAATGTTTAAGAATCCTTTTAAGCGGCCAAGGAATTCGTTAAGGGAAGTGGTTGGGCGTTTCAAGACCGATAAACAATGTAGATTGTAATTAACTTCACCGGACCCCACCTGCCCAATCCTCCGCCCATTTTTCCACCGGCATGTAAAAGTGGGTGGCAGCGACTTAATTGCATGCACGAAATGCAGGACTCGAATGAATGACATTCATTTTCGATTCGCTTCCACTGTCTTTGCTGCACTTCCGTTTGCCACACACACACACACAGGAAGGCAGCCAAAGGATTCGGATTCGGATTCCAGCAGGATGAAACTTGGATGGAAAAAAAACGGGGCAGAGGAAAAAGCATCAGGAGCCATCAATGTTGAGCAATTGGGTCGACGCCCCTCTCGAAATTCATAAAGCATTCTCATTGAAAATAATTAAAATGCGTCAAGCGTTCAAAATCAAGCAGCGTGGAAATTTAATTGTATTGAAACGAAGGGAGAAAGGCTCACCTGTTCCCCACTATTTCCCCCATTTTCTCGCCTCTTATCGATGGGAATGAATTGGTTCCATTTGGCAATTGGGCCAACAAATGAGTTCATTTCTTTATTTTTTTTCGTATTTACTTTCACAACTGACCGAGCCGGGAATGAATAAAGCAAATATGGAACCTGAGAGCGATAAATGCAATTGATCAGAGATAAATAGAAGAAAAGGAGTGGCGGAAATTACTAAAGATACAGATACAGTTTCTTAAGAGGGCATTTTAATGGCATTATCTGTAATAAGAATATTGCACAATGTCGCTTCAATAATATCATTATTACGATTTCTTTATAAGAATTTACGGAATATTAAAAAAAAATACCTTTATTTATTATACTGTTTACTCATAGAGTAAAAGGGTATACTAAACCCGTCGGTAAATATGTAACAGGTAACAGGTAGCCGAGTCGTTCTAGCCATGTCCGTATGAACGCTGATATCTCGGAAACAATAAGATCTAGAATATAGGGATTAAGCATGCAGATTCTTGGGATTCTGTATCGCCCACAATCGTCTATAACGATTTTTCTCATTAAAATTGATTTTATTGATCAGTTCCTATCTACTTTCCAATAAAAATTGGATTATTATATTCATAGCAATCGCAATATTATCTAAATAGTTTTGAATTACTTAGTTAATAATTGAAAAAGCCCTTTCATGGTCAGTAGTACTGTTACCATACGCTAGGAGGCGCCACCCGTTAGGTGGTGCGCAAAAAGATATGCTATGGAATTTTATTTTAAAATTGGTCAGCAGCTTGAAGATGTTTAGCTGAGTAATGGGTATCTGACAGTCGAGGTCGATCTATCTTGGTTTTATTATCAACACTTTTCTTAAATTTAAATTCTGTTTTCCATTATTAAAATGCTGTCCTCCTCACCTACGTACGTTCGATTATAAATGTTCATATGCATATAAATATGCGTTTCGTGTTTTTTCCGCAATTCTGCCTTACTTTACAGAGGACACATGGTACATTTCCCATGGTCAAAGGGAAAAGCGGACAGAGCCCAAGGCCACGTGAAGTACAGTGAACACTGATGGGGTGAGAAGAGGTGATGGCATCGGCATAATAAAAACCCGCAGCTGTCATTGGCAATAAAAATAATAACACCCATCGAGTGCTCGCAAAGTAACAAAAGCAACAACAGTCAAACAATTTCGGTTGTTCGAATTTTTTTATCAATCACAAAATAAACACTCAACAATGGAATGGGATTGGCAATGGAATATGTATATGTTTTTATATATATTATCATATTTATTTATAGGTTCTACATGTGCCCCACCGGAAGCTGTAAGCGTCATACTCGTTTCACTTTGATATTGTTCAAGAGCAAAAATACATAAAAAATAAATTTTAATTTTCAAAGGAACACATTTCAGCGCCAACCTATCCGCCATAATTGAAGTAAAAGCCAACGGCATTTGATTATTTGTATATAAATAAAACGACATACCTTTTTTTACGATTTGTTTGACATGGAATCAAAAAACACAAGAAACATGATGTTCGTAGGAGGCCAAAGGAAAAGCTCCTTCCCCCAAAGAACAATTTTTCATTTCCACCCAGGCAAGAGGAAAATAAAAGTCTACAAATATATATGGCAGTCTCATAAATAGGAGACCAGAAATCAATTGACAATTTATTGTTTGAAACATAAAAAATGAGCGAGTGCAAGTTGAGCTTGGGCAGGATGTTGGGTGGTTTTGGGAAAAAAATCTATATTAAATTACGAGCCAGCTAACAAAATGTCAAAATAATAATAATAAAAAAGAAAATGACAAAAAAGGGAAATTCGAAAAGTTAAGAAATAAGGATATCCTGTAAAATAAAGTGGAAGGATATGGGATTTTTTACGTGTTAGGAATGGAAATATTTAAATATCACCTATTAGTTTATTTTAATAGCAAAGAAATTTATAAGCGGAGACCTATAATATTGAATTGCAATCGATACAATCAGTTAAAAACAAACAATTAAACAATTTTAAATCGTTTCGCAACATAATATTTTAATAATAAATGTATCTTGGTTTCCACTGCCTGTTGCTCGGATTCTCTGTCAGCAAATACACCCATTATTTGAGGAGAATCCCATGACATAGACATATATGTACCATACACATTTATAAATAAAGAGATATGGTATGTGCATTGCCTGACTTTTTGTGGCCATTGTTGCTCGGTCGCTGTTGTTGATGCTGTTGCTGTTTCTCTGGTGTGCCCAATTGCCTTTAAATTGTACCGAGTGTTAAGTGGCGCACGTTAAAAAAACATTTAACGTTTTTATTTACGATACACCCAGTCGCCAACAACAGAAACCCCAGAAAAGCAACAGAAAAAAAAGATTGTAGGACCCCTGATGGAGGAGGCAGTGAAAGTGTTTTGTTCTGGCCCTGGCATTAGGGACTCGCAAAAAAAAAAGGAAATATATATATGTATCTATAGGTACAACAAAAATAAAAAAGGATATTGGAATCGCAAACGAATGGGAGGCTCAAACCGGGCAAGAAAAAAAATAAAGCGGAAATTAAAGTTAAAATATGGCAGGAGTCTGAATGGCAGAAAGAGCGATTGAGGGTTAGAAATGAGAGGGCGAGACAATTGCGAGTGGAAATGTGAAAATGGAAAATGGAAAAGTGAGCAAGTGCAAAAAGTTATCGCAACTATGAAATATATAGAATTGAGTACCTGACTATTCAACATGACCATTGAAGTGAAATAAGTGGTTTTACATGCGAGAATTAAATGCATAGTCTCTGATATTCAAATTTATATCGCTAAAAAATAGCTTTACATGTTTGCATGTTGGTAAAAAAAATACGATTTTTTATTCAAGAATCACTATAAAAGCCAATAAATGTTTACATACATAAATGCATGTATTGTAAATCTCTAAAATAAATTTCAAAGATGTATTTGTTTTTTCCCTTACAAACTAATAAAAATATTGAAAGTAGATAAAACATTTTTAAACTCACTTGTCGAAATAAATGTACTATGAACAAGTCTTTATTACTTTTCCAATACAAGTAGGCACAATGATACTTGTTTTACTTTGTTGTATTAGCAAACAAGTTACGTATTTTCAGAAGAACAAAAGGGGCGATGTTCCCGGCTGGATTAGCATTTTCTCTCCGATTTCTGCGGTGCGGGGCTCACTTTTCATCCGCGGATCTGCCACGCCCACAGCCCCCAAAGGAATGTCTCGAAGTTCTAGATCATAACAAACCTAAACAACAGGGCAAAGGCGAAACATATGATGGACCACGCTTTATATGCCTTCAAAAGGATTTTAAACGGCATCGGTTGACGGAAGGCCCAAGTACGATGGTGTCTCTTAATAAACTCGAGGCCCTGCGGTACTATCGTCAACTGCTGGCCCTTCGTCATTTGGAAATGGCAGCCTCGAATCTTTGCAAGGAGCGATTAATTCGAGGATTCTGTCATTTGTATACTGGCCAAGAGGCTTGCGCCGTGGGAATCCGTGCCGCGATGGGCGAACAGGATAAAGTAATTTCAGGATATCGAATACACGGCTGGGCGTACATGATGGGCGTGTCTGCTCAAGGTGTCCTTGCTGAACTCACCGGGCGTTTAACAGGTGGGTTCTTCAATTTTAATTAAGTTCAAGATTAAGAAAAAGTGTAAAAATTGAATCCTTTTTAAAGCTTAAACCTACTTATACAGCTGTAGAACTTATTTATGAACATATCTTAACTCATATTATGAATAATTTAAATTTATCACATTTTATAGAACCCAGGTCTTAACCCTTAAATGATTATTTTCAGGCTGTTCGGGTGGAAAAGGCGGTTCCATGCACATGTACGGAAAGAATTTCTATGGCGGAACTGGAATAGTTGGAGGTCAGGTACCCTTGGGAGCCGGACTGGCTTTTGCTGGAAAGTATCTGAAAGACGAATCAGTATCTTTAGCTATCTATGGCGATGGTGCTGCTAATCAGGGCCAGATTTTTGAAACATTTAACATGGCACAACTTTGGAAGTTACCCATAATTTTTGTATGCGAAAACAGCAACTACGGCATGGGCACAAGTTCCCAAAGAGCCTCCAGCAACAATGAATATTATAAAAGAGGGGACCATATGCCTGGCATCCAAGTCGATGGTCAGGATGTTTTGGCCGTAAGGAGTGCCACCACTTTTGCCATCCAACATGCCAAGAAAAGGGGTCCTCTAATACTAGAACTGAAAACCTATCGCTATGGCGGTCATTCAATGTCGGATCCTGAAACGAGTTATACGAGTAGGGAGGAAATCCAAAACGTTAGAATGGAGCAAGACCCCATCAAGAATTTTCAACAGGTTATTATGAAAGAATTCAACATTTCGCAGGATGAGATTAAGGAACTGGATAAGCTAGTGATAATTGAAATTGAGGAGGCCACAAAGGCAGCAAGATGCGCTGCGGAACCCAGTTTACCACATCTCTGGAGCGATATTTATTCGGGTTATTATGAGGGGCACATAAGGAATGTCAAAGAACATTCATTGAAACATATAAATTTGCATAAGATATATGATGTTAAAGCTTAGACCGAATCATAAAATTCAAAGTTCTAAACTGTAAAATCATACAAATAAATAAATGGGAACTAATCAAAAAGTCTTAATTAAAGAAGTGTCTTACTTGCAAAAAGTAAACTTAACGCGCTTTCTGATTTTTCAGTCTTGCAGAAATCAAAGCCTTTAAAGTTGAACCCTCCACATACTCATCATAACTTTCATTAGCACTTGTGTGTGCTCTATTTAATTTATGCTAAATGATCAGCGGCTGCTTCTTATGTCTACGTTTTATTTTTATTTTCCCGGCAAAACGAAAACAATAATTCAGCACAGCGAGCTGCTGAAACAGCAGAAAGCGAAGAAAAAATTGTTACGGCTCAAGAAAAAAAATGAAAAAAAGGGTAAGCAGGAAAAGGAAGTGTACACACATACACACGCATGGGACCCATTGGGGGCAGGTCCTTGCTTCCCCCTCACCCACACCCACGCACTCATTTGCCTTTGCACTCACGTCTGTGTAATTTATGCCAAAAAACAGTATGCAAGGATTTACCCTGGGCAGCGCACAATTACAATGGGTATATAAGAATATAAAGTTTTGATCTAATATGATCTTGGAAAACTTGTTATTCTGTAAGGAATTCCAATAGATATTGTACAATTATTTTTGGACTATTATAATAAATATGAACAAGGCTAAAATAATTAAGGAATTCCTTTAGGTATTGTAAAATTGTTTATGGAAAACTAAAATAAATATGAACAAGGTAAAATTAATTCTTTAACCAATTGTTGTTTATGAATTGTAGTTCTTATATACAAACCATAATTCAATTAAAAAGTATTCCTTATTTTAATTCAAAAAATTTTCAAATGTCTAAATCCAAATTAAATTTTTTCCTAATTAATTAATGTCATATTTAAATTATTTGTATATTGGACATTGTATTTTACATTTTACATTGTAGCGCCACTGCGAAGAAACATGAAAGCTTTGCAGTTGCTTTCTACTTGACATTTTACATTGTGTCGAATTTCTTTTTAAAGTAACTCACACACACATTTGTTTATAAATAAAAAATTAATTAAACTAAATTAAAATTCACTTACTCAACGCCATCACCACATTACATCCACCTCATTACTGTTCCATACTTTTGAGCAGAGGGAAGCCGGAAATGAGATATCACACACGAATAAGTACACCTCCGAACAGGAAACAAGTGGAAGCGTCGATGATGGGAGATAGTTATGAATAAGAAGGTGGGAAGAGTTATAGTTTTTACACTGAAGCCATGGAATTTATATAAATAACAAAAGCATAATAATTAATTAAAGTCAGAGCACCCGGTGAGACCACAATATTGGTTATGAGGTGATAATGGAAAGATTACAAGGGACTTACCGGTTTACCTATAAATGGACGTAGGACTTTAGTTCATTTTTAAGCAGTGATATAATTTTGAATACCAAACCATAATTAATTAAACCCTTATCAACATATTATACAAAATATTTTCCCAGTCTAGGATCTGAAGGAAACGGAAATTTAAGAACATTTTTAACAACATCGGCTTATCAAAATATCCAAAAAGATGACACTGTGTGTGACCATGTAGATAATAAAATAAGTTTTTTAAGCAAGACGAATTTAAATCACTAGTAATTTGTTTCACTTGCAATACAAAATCTAGTAGAACTTAATAAGTTGTAATGAAAAGTAAACAATTTAAAGATTACTATGAAGTCTCCACATAGGTCTTTATCGAAGGTTGTGATGTACTGCAAAAGTTTGCCAAAAATCGACATTTTGGCTAGACCATATCCACATTTACTTACAATAAAATTTTTTGCACATTTGCTTTTAAAAGGGGTTTGCAAATAATATAATAATGAACAACAAAAATGCACAGGTATGTTTTGTATGTAGTAGGTGCTCTCATCGAGAGACGCTTGGCACAATTTCTTATCAGCAGTTCCCGCGAAAACGCCGGACACCACATGTACATACATAGGTGTTATAGTTAAGGGTTTTCTTTTCTGGACAAGACCTACTTGCCTTGTCTTATTACACTGCAAGTCCCGTCGAGACTATCTTTCCCAAACGAGCTGTATACGATGATGTGATAATAAAGGGTTGGCACAATAAGTATGTCTTATAGGTGTTTCTTGTAAGTAGTAGCTGTTTCCCAATGAAGCACGCTGTTTATTTCAAATAAAAAAGTACTGGATGCATATATTTCGTCTGCTTATCTTGGCTTTGCCCCGATCCGGACAGGGAAGTACGGACGAGGAAACCCGGCTAGATTGTAGACTCCATATAGAGATGTCAGGTGGCTGCACCCAGTGCTCCTCGACTGGACAAGATCTCTACTTCCTATTCTGGTTGTTGCGGGCCATGTCCTTGGGGAAAGAGCGCAGTGGGGGCGTACGGATGCGGCGAGCCTCGCGGGATCGGTTACGCACCACCTTGGAGTGGATTGCGCAGGACACGCAGTAGTGGAGCTTCGCGTAGAGCTTGGGCAGCACGTACGAGTCCCAGATGCTGGCCTCCGTGATGTCACGGACGGCGGCGGCCTCCACAATGTTGCGGATGACGAACTTCTTGATCGCCTTGTCCTTGGGCACGCAACGGGCGCAGTTGGTGCAGCGCACGGGCTTCACATGGCCGCGGTTGTGCTTGTTGCGTCCTCCATTACGGCGCTTCTTGGTCATCTTGCCGGCTGTTTTTCAACGGATAGGAACAGACCGCACGTCGGTTAGCATTTATCACTGGTTTTGCGGCTCGGATGGCTGCCATAATTACCTTATTTATCGATTTTCAAAATCCGCCCAGCGAAATCCGCGTGTGTTCACGTTTCGGGAAACGAAAAGAAAGAAAATAGTGTGGACTCACCCCGCGAAACTCGGAAAAAGGGGCTAAAAAATCTCAAGCCGGCAATGGCGGCGTGGTTCGCTACCAGGGCTACCCACTTTTCGCGCCATATCTGGCGGTTTTTTTCAGAAAATATAAATCGCCCTTAAGAGGCTAACTTATTTTTTGTTACCTTTTTTTAATATTATAAAGTCTCGAAAATCATTTTTAAACCCTTTATTTTTCATGTCAGAAAATATGTTTGGTAAAAAGGTGCGTCATTTTTTTTACTTATATTTTAAAAAATGTTAGCTTAGAGAAAAGTTTTAAGTACCATCTCTAGAACCATAAAACAAAAACCATATAAAATAAAAACGTTAATAAAGCCCTAGTTATTAACGTTTTTATTTTATATGGTTTGTCTACTTTATAATATATATAAAACAGCATGGAATGAAAACATATTATATTAGTTACACTGCCCGCTTTTTTTACCATAAGCAGTAAAAAAAAAGTTTTTAGATTACTTATACAGTCAATCACTTACTAACTATGAAAAACAAAGTTTTGTTTGATCCAAAAATGATAGACAACCAGTCACAAACATCTATATTTTTCGCCTCTTTCTAAAAATATGTATTACATTTTTAACAATTCATCAGTTTATAAAGTATCCCCAACTACTAATTCATTCAGCTTTTTCCCGCTATGGTTCTAGTCAGAAAAAGTTTGTTTCTTATTCAAGTTGGCAACGCGCATAAGAGTGACCAGTTATTCAGTGAAAAATAGCTGTCTTTAGCGGGACATTTTGTTAGAAAACGCATTTTTCAACTATAAATATTTTTACAAAAATATATTTAAATTATAATATATAAAAAACTGGCTTCAGTAGAAAATAAAAATAATCATGTTTCAGGAAAAAATAAATTAAAACTATTTTTTAGTTGAGTAGCATTTTACTGTTCGCATCGGTAACGATTTGTTTGAGAAAAGAACTTTCAAGTGTGCTAGTTGAACTTTTTAATATTCTATGGAAATTTTCAAAATAAATGAAAAAAATATCATAGGCTTTAACAATAATTTTTAGAGAACTCACATTTTGTGAAAGTCAATTAAGTTTTAAGTTTTAAAAGAAGACTACGTTTGCTTATCGAAAAAATTGTATTCTTACGGTCTTGGCAAAAAAAATAGATAAATATCTCTTAAAAGTAATGAATACTTTCTGTCCCTGGTTTAATGGAGTACCCAATAAAAAAACGGTTGACAAAACCAAAACATGTTATGGTCGATCGATCGATTGCATTGGCAATCAGTAGCTAAGTGTTTAATAAATTAATGGTCCACCTTGATATAAATTAAAAAGAATTTGTAAAATAAATGTATATTTGTATGCTTTAAATTTATTAAATTGGTTTGACAAAATATTACAATTTTTTGTTTATCCTAAGTACAAAGCTGCTGTCAATATAAGAAAAACGAAAATCGCGCAAAACTTTTTTTATCTGTACAAATGTATAAATTTTGTCCAATTGTTAATTATACCTCATCTGAACAAATGCCTAAAAGTCGTGAATATACGGTATAGTAAAGCGTGTATAACTATTTGACAGTTGCATTTTGTACATTTATTTTTGTTTATCAGCTTAGTGGGTTTTTCTTTGTACACATGTAGAAGTAAAATATTTAACACAAATTTTAATATGCCTTAGTTTTGTCGCGGTTTCCAGTCCAGTCTCCAAATTCAGCCACGCCCCTTGGAACGGTGTGAACTGCGCTCTCCTCGCGAGCGGTCACGGTCACGAGATTCGACGCGTTCCTGGTCACGCTCTCTTTCGCGTCCCCGTTGTCTCTTCAGATCGCGATCACGTTCCTTTTCACGACCACGATCTGATCTTTCACCACGATCAGACCTTTCACCTCGATCTGACCTCTCATCTCTGGACAAACGATCACCACGTCGGCTGTCTTTTTCACCACGACTGTTCTTCTCAACACGTCTTTCGCGAGGGGAAGAATCCTCTCTTCTGCGAGGTTTCTCATAAGAAAGGGATCGATCTCGTTTTCTTTGCTTATCGTGAGAGATAGACTTTTGAACCTTCCTTTCTTTGTCATATGAATTTTCCCGGTTTCTTTCTCTGTCGTGTGAAGAATTCTCTCGGTTTCGATCCCTGCCATAGGAAGTAGAATCCCGGTTTCTTTGTCTGTTGAAAGAGTTGTCCCTGCGTCTCTGGCCGTTGCCATTCGACTGGTTGCGATTGCGTTCTCTAGATTCAGGACCTTCTAGGTTGAATTCATCACTGTCTTGCGGTTGCCCCCGAAATTTGTTGTTTTTTTGGATTTGCTCCTGGCGCTTGATCTTTGCCTTAGGCTCAGCGTTGCTTTCTTCGCTGGAAGAATTCGATGAAGAGGATTCAGACGACGACTTTTCGCTTTCTTCGCTGCTGTTGGAACTTGAGCTCTCCTGGCGTTTTCGCTTGCGTTTTGATTTCTTTTTCGCTGCCTTCTTTTCTTTCTCTTTCTCGCGCTTTTTATCCTTCTCCTGTTCCTTTTCTCGTTCCTTTTGCCTTTCCCTTTGTTTCTCTTTTTCCTTTTCCTTCTCAGATTTTTGTTTTTCTTTCTCCCTTTCCTTATCCGCCTTCTTTTTCTTTTCTGCCTTTTTGTTCTTACCCTTTTTGGCTTTCTCCTTACTGACTTTCTTTGACTTTTTGTCTTTGTCCTTGCGTTTGCGTTTCTTCTTGGGCTCTGAGCTGGAATCGGAGCCTGAAGATTCACTAGAAGATTCAGAACTGGAATCGTCTTCACTGGAGTCATCGCTGCTAGTGTCAGAGGAGGATGATGATGACGAGGAGGACGACGGTGGGGTTATCTTGGAATTTCCAGCGGGAGCAGACCCATCTTTGAAAGGATTCCCTCCGGTACTGGCCAGAATTTCGGCATTTATTGCGGGAACAGCCTTGGGGGCAGTTTTCAAGAATCTTCTCAAATCATCGGTCAGACCACCCAAACCAATGGAGGTGAAGAAATTAATGGAGAAGCGGGTGTTTCTTGGATTATCCTTGGGGAACAAGCCAGCCAGGCTTTCAACCAATACTTCGTCCTTGAGCTTTGCATTTAGTTTGCCCAAGCCCATGTACTCAGCTAGCTCCTGAAATAGGATTTTTATAAAGATCCTGCTCGATGACGTGGTGTCATCCTCGTTCAGTTGGATGCACTCCAGCACATCCCAACTAATGGCGTCTGTAAATAGCAGATGGGCGAAGAACTTGCTGACGTTTCTCAAGCGATTCGTGTCCAATCTGTGGGTGGTTTGATAGGTGTCCTTAAAGATCTCCTCGAAGGGGGGTATATAGATCTTGTTAATGTTGCAGAACCGTTGGGCCAGCAGTCCATAGAACTTTTCATATGTTCTCTGTTCCGCACAGCAATCGAGGAACATGTGGCAGAGTTCTATTTCTTGTCCGGGTTTCAATTGCATCTTCATCAGTTTGTGGGCACACTCCTCGTAATCCAAACTAGAGTTAATTGTTAAGTAAATTGTGCGTCGCAGGGCAATCAGATTGGTCTCGGTGTTGTCGATTATGTCGCCACCCTCGGTTTTCTTTTCCGCATCCGATCCAGATTCTGCATCCGAATCGCTATCCGAGCCCGATCCGGAACCTGATCCCGAACTACTGCCATCATCGCTGCCCAGGATCTCGCGACTCAGTCCTTTGTATTTCTCCTCATTCTCCGCGTAGTTGTCGTCAAATTTAAAAACATCTTTAAAGGGAATGAATAAAAGTGTTAGGTAAAATACAAATCTGTTTATGGTATGGACTTACTCAGTATATCCTCCGTTTCAGTGGCTTCGTCTAACATCATTAGATGCGTGAACTGATCGTCCTCCTCCACCAGCTCCAGTTCCGAAACAACAGCCTGATGGTCCTTAAAGCCATCCTTTCGCACCTGGAACAGCACCTCGATCATGTACTGCACTCGCTTGTCCAATTTTCCCTCATGCAGGATGTTTCTCAGCATCTCGAAGATGGCCCCAATGCCTTTTGAGGAAACCTCAGTCAGTTTCATGCCACACTCCTTTAGAAAACTGATGGCCACCTCCACCGAATCATCCGTTGGAGTTTCCACCAACAGGGTGAGGATCTCTAGGGCCAGAATTTCATGGGCCACACGCTGGTTGACCAGGTGACCAATGAATCTAGTGGCCGACATGCAAACCAACTTATCATTACGGCGGAACGCCCTACGGAATTGGATGACGAGACGTTTGAGGAGGAGCTCTCCAATATTCGGAAACTTTGAGTTTATAATGCTCACCAGAGCGGCGTAGACATGGGTAAACGTGGGCGAAGCAGCCTGGGCTTGGATAATACTCCTGCTGAGTAAACCCCTTCCCCTGACGATATTCTCTCTCAAAAGCTCCCTGGTGATAATTGCTATATTTGTTACGTTCACTTTGTTGATGTAACCATGGATGGATTTCTTGAGGGCCTCCCAAGCGATTCTCTGATAGGCAGCAGATGCTTTATCCGTGATCTGTGACTGCATCAAACGCAGCTTAGCTGGTGGAATATAGGCTCCTCCTGTTCTGGAGGTTAAAACATCCACCGTTTTCCGTTGACGCTCTGTTATCTTGGCAGCAGGTTCAGTTACGGTTTCATTATCAGCATTAGTGGGTTCTGGATGGCGAGCAGTTTTGGATGATTTCGATCCTGGGCTGGAGGTGGAACGATCTCGCTTGCGATCTGAAGACTTCTTCCTTTCCCTGGAATCATCTCTACGCCTGCTAGTGGACCTCTTTCTTTCCTTGGAATCATCTCTTCGCCTGCTGGTGGACTTATCACGCTTCTGATGGCGCTTTTCTCGCTCCTTAGCTCTTGCCTCATCCCGTTTATCCCGCTCCTCATGACGCCTCTGGCGCTCCAGGCGTCGTCTCTCCAAGGAATTCGACCTACGGCGAATGGGACTGATACTGCGGCTTCGGGTCCTACTGTTCCCGCTCCTCGAGCGAGGACGACGACGGCTGCGAGGCGAGGGACTCCTACTGGAGGATCGTGGCCGACGTCTCTTGTCGTCCTGGCTGTGGCTGCGTTGGCGGTTGGACTCTTTGGATGGACTGCTCTGGGCGGCGCCGGGTTTCTCACTCTCCTTGGCAGGCGGCTCGTCATCATCGTCTTTCTAAAATATGGAAAAATTAAACCGAAAATTAAACATAAGAGTATTAATTTGAATAATCATAAATAAATATTAAATAGACTTGAGTAAATAGACTTTTTTTACAAGGTCATTACAGATATTTCCATTTTGAAACCATTAATATATTACAAAAATTAAGAATGCTAATTTAATTTGATGATAAATCAAAAATATGCAAAACATAAGATTGATTTGTTACTAATAATATAATAATCTTTTTAATAAACGATTAAGAACCCTATACCATGGATTGGTCTTACATCGGTTATTTCGCCCTCCTCGTGGTTGTCCGATGTAGGAGGTTCCACTGCACCGGCAGCTGTTTCCTCCGGCGATTCCTTGCTACTTCCGTTGCTTCCATTGGTGGTCACCGGCTGCTCCTCCCCCTTTCCCCGCTCTTCTGCTTCTTTTTCAACGTGCTCCGCCTGTGTCTTCGGGCTTTCCAGCTTTTTCGTCACACCTGTGGCTTCTGCTTCTTCTTCCCGTTGGACAGGTGTTTCTACATTTTCCGCTTCATTTAATTTCTCACTTTCCGCCGTCGCAGCAGCTGCTTCTTCTTGCTGCTTTTCCACGCCAGCAGAATGGGAAATTGGCTTGGCCGGCGAGGGGGTATCTTCAGCTGCATTTTTTTTATGGTCACGCGGATCCTCATCCTCTTTAGCTACTCCTTCCTTATCGCTATCCTCCTCCCGATCCCTATCATCAGTTTTTTTCGCATCTTTGGCGGATTGCTCCGGCTCTGCTTCCTCTTCTTCGCGCCCGCTGCTGGCCGACGAGGAGGATTCGCTCCTGGCGTCGCTGTCGCTGCCACTGGAGGAGCCGCTGCTGCTAGAATTACTGCTCGAATCGCTCTCGGCATCGCTTTCCCCCATCGCGCGGTTATTTCGGGAAAATTTAAGGGAAAACAACGATGAAAATTATTTGGGCAAAAAACACAACGCGGCGATACAGCGGAATTATCGATAAGTTATACCGTCCGGCCCTGAGAAATATACTTATACCAATCAAATATACCAAAAATATTCACTCAAAACGTCAAGCTGAAACTCAGGTGGGTGTCTTCGCTAACCGAGCGGTGTCACCCTCCTCGCTTAGCGAGGGCACACACCTATTTATGGGAAATCTATAATTTCATATTAAACTTTTTCGGAAATGGCGATATTTGAATTCAAAAAATTCAATGTCGTTTGTTTTTGCTTGTGTGGGAGGTTCAATATCGCGGTGACCTTTTACCCCACATTTGGCTTATTGATAGGCTTATTGCTATAATTTTTTAATGACCTTTTTGTCAGGGTTATTACTAGGCTTCTTGTTTGGCTTATGGCTAGGCATATTCTTTGCTTATTTCAAGGTTTTTTTTCCTGGCTCATTGCTAGGCTGTTTGTTTGGCTTTCTTGCTAGAATTATTGATAGGCTCAAAGCTTTGCTTATTGCCAGTAATTTGAGAAAATTGGCCTAGGGAACGTGGAATCGGGAAAAAAGACGTGGCATTTGAACAAGGCACGGTTCATAGCTCCAAAAACAATTATTTTTGCACAATCGAAGTGCCCTATTAAAGTTTCCAATACATACATCAGTGCAAATTCGCAACAAAACAACTAAATTTATTTTAGTTTACAAGTTTACAAATTGTTTATCCATAGTAAATACTTTAAAAATAGGCTTTAATCACGACGGGTTAAACTAGAGAAGGACTTTATCCAAAAGCCACTAAGCCTTGCTGTCCGGTTTGGGTGGAACGGTTTCGGGTATCGATGGCGACACATCGTCGTCGCTGGAGGACGACGAGGATGACGAGGAGCTGGAGTCATCGGCCTTTGTTCGCTTCTCGGGAATCGTGTAGGGGAACTTCTGCGATTTCTCCTCAACCGCCTGTTTTAAACGAAGCAGAGCTGTCCTATTGATGTTCTCCAGGGAGACATCCTTGATGGCATTGGCCAAAACATCCATGGCCTTGTCGGAGTTTCCCTTGGTCGTCTGGATGTCGATGAGGCAGGAGTACGCATTTCCGATAGCTCCCTCCGAGATTTTGCTGCCCTTCAGCTGGGAAATGACCGTTGAGGCGAGTTTCTCGTCATTCTGCTCCCGTGCAGTCTGCAAAACGCGCTGGAACATCAACCTTGGGGCATTGGACAGATGCTTATCCCAGATCTCCTTGGAGGCCACCTCCTGACCACTGGAAATGAGGTGCATCCACAAGACATTCATGGGTCCAAGTTGATTGTGGGCGGCAAACTTCTCAGCCAGGGATTGGTCTGCAAAATAAATAGGTTATTAATTTACACCCTCTTCTCTTAAATATTTTAAAATCTTACATTGTGGCACCAATTCCGGGTGTTTTTCCAAAATGCCCACAGCACCTCCGCGTGGGAACTTCGCGGCCAGCTTGGTTGACTCCTCAGGAGTTTTGGCTCCATCAATTTCCGTGGTTAAGTGCTTAAGAAACTGCTCCGCCTTTCCGGCAACTATATTAGCATGACAGAAGCGGTTATCAAACGAAACCAGACGCTTTTGCTCCTCGGTCAGCTGCTTGCCAATCTTCTCAAGTGTTTCCAAGTCACCAGCAGCCGCGATTTTGTTCAGGTAAAACTTAAAGATCTTGGGCTGTGGATGCAACTTGTCGCCCAGGAGCTCCTCAACGTATTTTGTGGCCTCTGTTAGGCGATCGGCACGAACCAGAAGCTCAATCAGTCGGGAAGTGTCCAGGGCACCAACCTTCTCTCCACTCAGAAACCTCTGTTTATGGGAGATGGCTGCATCGGGATCGTTGGCCAGGATGGCTTTGCGAAAGCCAGACAAATGGGATACGGGTTTAGGTGGTGCAGGCTTTACTGCTTCCGTTTTAGTTTGCTCCTTCTTTGGAGACTTCTCCTTGGGCTGCTCTGAATTCTTATCAGTTTCTGTAGTAGCTTCTGTTTTCGCTTGATTATTAGCTTTGTTTTTCCTAGCTTTGGCTTGTTCCTTTTGCGTTTCGGGCACCACAAAAGGCACATCAATGTTCTTCCTCTTGAGAATGTCTGCCAGTTTCAAAAGGAAAGCATCGTTGGGTGTCAAAGATTCTTCCTGCATTTTGGTCCACAGGCCAAGTGCCTTCTCCGCTTCATCTGCCTTGTCGTAGCTCAAAAGAAGGGTGTAGTAAATCTTGTTTCTATCGATGTGGCCCAGGTCTTTTGTGGCTTCAATCAGTCCTTCCAGAGGCTGGAGCAATCCCTCATTCTTGTAGCGATCACAGGCACTGCTAATCCTCTGGGGACGAGTGCGCAGTCCGGGGGTCTCCAGGATTTTCCTGGCCTGCCTCACACGTCCACACTCCACAAAGGAGAAGACCAGATCGTAAAGGCTGTTAACTTCACCATGAATTGCGGTGCTCAAATCGGTCAACTTCTGGAGATTAGCTGCATCTTCTTTTTGGATCAAGCGGCAAGCCAGCTCATTTTTCCAGGGAGTTGACTTATGCTTCTGGCAAATCTCCTCAAAGGCTTCGATGGCCTTTGGAATATCATCCTTGACCAGATGAACCTTGATCAGAGGACCAAGGAGAACATTGGTGGGCACAACATAGTTGGCAGCGACCAGGGCATCGAATATTTTTCGCAGTTTTTCTGGTTCACCAGCTTCAGCGAGGGAATTTAAAATTCTCCACACGGTGCTCACATAGTTAAAGCTTCCTTCGGCTTCGGCAATAGGCGCATCCTTCTTGTTATCCTCGAGTACCTTAAAGGCAGCATCCACACGTTCCTCTTGCAGGAGGAGATCAGCCAGTCGCACAGTCTTTAAGTTATCCAACTTGAAGGTGGCATCCTTGACCTTCAGTTTTTCATAGTTCTCCAAAGCCTCGGCACTTTTCTTGTGATGCGTATAGAGATCGATGAGCTGGGCGTAAACGCCAATCGGGATCTGGAATTTCTCGGTCTCGAGTTTCTCGATGACCTGAAGGGTTTTATCCAGGTTCTGTGATCGGAAACAGGCGGTCAAAAGTTGTCTCTTGATGTTGTTGGCATTCTCTCCCTTGCCCTCTACATTGACTATGAATCGCTCGAGTTCTGGAAAAATATAAAAACTTGTTGAAGAAATAACATTAAACAAAAGTGTTAGAAAGTACTAACCATCAATGGAGAGCGAATCCAGACTTCTCTTGCCGTTATTTGGCAGAGCAACCGGCTGCAGTTCACCTGAGCTTAGTTTGCCCAAAAGTTCCGAAATCCTGGGAGTCAATTCGGAACCCAATTGCTCTGATAACTGGCTAGCTTTGGCACTGCTAATGGACAATCCCTGCTTCACCAATCCCTTGAGGATTTTCTCCAACGTAGACGCGCGATCTCGTCGGAAGTAAATGGACGCCTCCTGGACAATGGCACCGACCACGTCAGGGGTGCTGCGATCCGCAGAAGCAGCAGCTCCGCCTTCCACCGGCTCAGCTTCCTCCTCCTTGCCTTGTCTGAATTGCAAGCCCTCGTGAATTTGGCGGACACATCGAATAAAGGAAGCATAATCGTTGGTGTGACTAAGGGCCAGGATCAAGGGTTGTCTAAACAAGAAAGGCACATAGTACGCTCTGTTCTGCTCCATTAGCTTGGCTGCATCGGCAATTTGGTGAGTCACCAAGGCGGAGTAAACAGCTGAGGTTACAGCAGTGGAGTTGGGAACTCCAGCGTCCCTCAAAGCGGTTACAATTCTCTCCCAGTTCTTCTCCTTTAAGTTCGGAATAACATAATCCCTGACGGTTTCAGAGTTAGGGTACACCGAAAACTCCTGCTGCATGCGACGTACGATCTCCAAAACCTGATTGGATTCCACAGAACAGATCAAAGGCCAGAAATAATGCTGTCTGATAGGCAAACCAGCATTCTTCATCTCTTGCAGCAGGGGAAGAGCATTGTTCACCACTCCGTTGGTCAAGCCAGCTTCAGTGGCAATTGTCAAAGCCTTGGGATTAAGTCCCTCCGATTGCAATGCTTTGCAGATAGACAGGATCTTTTCCACGGGCCGGTTAGCCTTGACCATCTGCCTGATAAAGAAGGCTCCCACATCAACAGGTTCGCCGTTTACACGACTGCTCCTTGGCATCACTCGGAGGAGTTTCAGACCCACATCCTCGTAACCTTTGTTGACCAGACGAAGGATCACATTCACCGCATCTTGATTAAAGCCAGGTGAGAGACGCAGCTTGGTCAGGACCTCATCCACTTGTTCTCCATGGCCATTGACGGTGAGCGTGTACACGATGTCCAGCAGATCTTTGTCCAGCAAAATTATCTCCTTTTTCTCGCTTTCAGCCAGGGTTTCCTTCAGGGCAGCCAGATCTCCGTGGCGGGCAAAGGCGCACAGAAGAGTCGTGTATGTGTCCGCACTGGGCTCTAATCCTGCCTGCTTCATCACTCCCAGGATGCCCTTGGCGGACTCCAAGTCGTTGGCCTGTGAATGTCCCAGAATCAGGGAATTGAAGACATTCTCATTGACCGGAAGACTCTTTGCTCGCATGAATTCCAAAATTCTAGTGGCTCCTTCGATGTCGCCCTGCTGGCAATAGCGAGCAATCAATCGCTGGTAGGTCACCCTGTTAGGCTCGATTCCCTTAGCCTCGATCTCCGCCAGAAAATCAGTGGGTGCGAATCCATGTTCGTTCTCCAAGTAAACCCGGAGCAGGGCATTGTAATGCGAGATGTCCATGGGCACATTCAAGGCGTTCAGGGTCTTCCAGATCTCCTGGACCAAAGCCGTCCTGACCTCAGGCAGCTCCTCGGGCACCAGGTTTCCGCAGCAACGGATCACCAGCAGAGATTGCGAACTGGTGGCCGTCCTGTGGGTGCGAATCTCATCGAGTATCTCCTCCAGATCCCGTCGAGAAATGCGTCCAATGCGGCGAACATCCTGGTCCAGCCGGCGAATCTGTTTGTCCAGACTCAGCTCAGTTTTTGCTGCGGCATTTGTGGCAAAACCGCTAAAAGGAAGGAAGTTAAAAATTAGTATG